TGGCTGGCCCCCAGCGGTCTCCGCGGGCCATTCGGCCAGGGAATTTTCTGGGGGACTCCCCTCTGCGCCGCCGCTGACGTCTCCCGAAAGGCTGTGTTCTCGGTGCCTCAGGGTTCTGTGCTGCGACTCGAAGGAGAAGTACAGTCGGACCGAGGTATAAGATCGAGATCGGTTCGGGGAGGGTACCCTCGTGTTCTTCATGCTTGCTGCATGTTCTTTTGTGTCCAGGGGAGGGTGCCCTTGGATGTTCTGTTTGGTTTGGCCGACGGAGTGTCTCATGTTCTTGATGGATGCTCTTCTGGTCTAGGTCCGACTGCGCGGACCACCACCGCCGAGAACCCATCAGTGGGTGGCCGACGCTCAGGCGTACCACTGCCCGGGGGCCGGCACCCCAGTGGTGGATCCTCGGTGGCGGTGGTCCATGTTCCTCCTCTGAGAGACTCCTTTCGATCTAGGCTTCCATTATGGGGTCCGAGCAGACGGGATCGGAGTATCGCCCCGCATCGCCGATGCATCGGCGATGCGGCTCGCTAGGGAGCCCGATGTCATCCGCGCCTACGTCGCCGATGCATCGCCGACGTCGCCGATGAATCGCCGATGCATCGGCGATTCGGCGTGATCCTCCGACCCCACCTATTCGGACCCCATCCCAGGAGGTCTCTACTAGACGAGCGGGCCTTCTGGGGCCAGCCACAACCACCTTGTCGAGCAACCCTCCGCCCTGCCAGGCCGAGAGGTTTGCGCACGTGTTTCTGCTGGTGCGCGTCCAGGTCGCAGCTCCCGAGGTGCCCTCTGTAACGCCAGCTCGTGCCACCCCTGACCGAGGTTTCGGCCGTGCCAGCGGTCTGGCGACTCCTCACCCACGGCCATCCTCCCTTCTGCTGCTCCTCCTGCGCCTCCTGACCCTCCTCCTGCTCCTCCCAGCCTGCCCCTCCTCCCTCCTCCCCCCCTCCCTGCCCTCCTTTTCCTCCGCCCTCCTGCTCCTGCTCCTGCTCCTGCTTGTGATCCCCAGCACAGGTCCTGATCCCTTCACCTGCTCATCTTCCTCTTCCTCTGCCTCCGGCGTCCTGCTTCCTTGCCTCTCCGCCTCCCCCTCCTCCTCCTCCTCCTCCTCCTCCTCCTCCTCCTCCTCTTCCTCCCCCTCCCGTCACAATACGGCAGACGGCACAACATGTGATGGAAGGGATGGGCATGACAGAACGCATCCATACGTCGAGGGATCGTTGATCAAACATCGTTGAAAAGGGTAAGATCTGCAGAACACCCGCCCTGCGGGCGCGCCCTCCGCCTCCTCCTCCTCCTCCTGCTCCTGCTCCTTCTCCTCCTACTCCCATCGGCGAGTCGCCTGGTTCTCGTTCGGCCCCCTGCTGGCCCTCGGGAGCGCAGGGCATCCCGACGGAGCTGCCGCTGCTCCTCCTGCTGCAGCTCCTCCTTGGTCTCTCCACACCTCGAACCCTCGAGCGCCCACCCAACGGCCCCCTTGGGGAGCCTTCCCAGAACCTCCTGGAGCCCTTTGAATACCCCCCCAGATCCCCCCCTCCCTCCTCGTCACCAGGAGGAGAAGGAGGAGGAGGAGGAGGAGGAGGGTAGAGGATCGGATCGGACTCGTGAAGTTCGAGCGTCAAACCGGAGAAGTCGCGACTGCCGTCTTGAATGCGCTGGTGGCCGCCAGCCTCGCATGGTGGCCCCTGGCCGCACTGCCCTTTTCAAAGCAACAGGAGGGTTGAGGAGGAGGGCGAGAGGAGCCGTCCTCCGTCATTTTGCTGCAGCCTTGCGCCTCGCCCCCCTTTCCTCTTCCCCTCCTCCAGAGGCTTCAGAGGCCCGGAAAGGCCAAAGCACTCCTATCAGTTTCGACCCTCGATCATCTTCCGTCCTCCCCCTCGTTGGTCCTCGATCCAGCCTCCCTGATGGCCCGATTTTCCACCACCACTTTCACCCACCAAAGCATTAGGCGAGACCTCAGTGACCAAGTGTCGCCTGTGGCGTACGTGCAGCAGCTGGCCAAACTCTATGACGGGCAAACATCTACAGTCCGAACGGACTGGATGAGCAGAGAGTTCCAGTTGAGCTCACTTTTCTTCAATTGCGTATCAGACAGTATTTTGCGGACCATCTATCAGAAGTGGTCTACGAAACGGGTTGGATTACAGTTTCAAGATGGGCATGAACGACTCACCAATTTCTTGTTAGCAGATGTCATTATCTTAAAAGTTGGGCCATGGCGCCACATCACTGCTGGACGACCTGAGCAAGGAGGCCGCCAAAACAGGGATCGAGCTACATCCAGTTAAGACACATATTCTCCACAACGGCCACCGAGGTTCTAGAAAAGGGAACCCAGCCACGCACCTGCCAACGGAATGTCAGTCGAGATGTTACAGAGCGACGAAATACCTTGGGAAGCCGTTGCAAGTCAACGAATTCCACCTCGCCAAACTGGAGAACCGCATGTCGTTGGCATGGAGAAAGTTCTTTGCTTTGCGGGCAGGATCCACGGGGAAACATGATTCAATGAACAAACGGATCCGATTATTGCATGGGATGGTTACACAGAGTATTCTGTATGGGTTTGAAGGATGGACAATGACAGTGGAAATGGAGAGCCGATTCCAGAGAACACAGCGCCAGATGTTGCGTGCGCCATGACGTCGAGACCCACAGGAGGTACCTGTCCAAGACGATTCCGACTTAGTGCCATGGCCAGATTACATACGATAGTCCACCCAAAAAATTGAGGGGATGATGGAACATGTGCAGAACACCGATTGGGTATCGACCCAACGCCAACGAATATGGAGGTGGGCCCACAGAGTCTGCAATGCGGCAGTACATGAATAGTCATCGATGGGACCTTAAAAGCGGTTCAACGCCTGGCGCGCGACGGCGACAAGGGTCATCCGAAAAAACGGTGGTCGGATGATATTGTGCGCTACGCATGGCCCAAGTGGACGGCCGAAGCCCTATCAGACATATGGAATTTACTTGAGGCAGCTTCTGTAGGCAGGGCGGTGCCTGATATTGTCTAAACACTTCGTTTCATATGGGAGAATGTACATGTGTGTGCGTGCTGTTTGTTCATCTGTCTCACAGTTTCCCAGTGCCACGGCGCCACTTTGCGACGCCCCCACCAGCGACAGCTGCAGGTTCGATGTCAGATGTCTGACCTCCATAGGTGGGGGAAGGTTGCTGCTGATGATGATGATGATAAGGATGAGGATGTTGATGCTGATGATGAGGATTGTGATGCTGATGATAACGATGATTGTGATGATGATGATGATGATGATGATGATGATGATGATGATGATGATGATGATGATGATGATGATGATGATGATGATGATGATGATGATGATGATGATGATGATGATGATGCTGCTGCTGCTGCTGATGATGATGATGATGATGATGAAGAAGCTGCTGCTGATGATGGTGGTGATGATGGTAATGATGATGATGCTGATGATGATGATGATGATGATGATGATGATGATGATGATGATGATGATGATGATGATGGTGATGGTGATGATTCTGATGATGATGAGGAGAAGGAGGATGAGGAGGAGGGGGTGGAGGAGGAGGAAGAGGAGGAGGTGGAGGAGGCGGAGGACCTGCCCATCCTTCCTTTTTCCCACGTTTTGCTTAACGTGGTGGTGGTGGAGGAGAATTGGCCCTATCACTCCCGCTTCCTCTTCCCCTCACTCTTCTCAGGGCATCCTGATGGAGGTGTGGTCGCACAACGACTTCCTGGGCGAGTGCTGGCTCCCGGCGTTCGGCGACCTGGGCCAGGACCAGGGGGCCTGGGAGGGTCGTCGTGGTCGTCCTCGTCCTCGTCCTCGTCGTCGTCGTCAGAGACCGGGTCGAGTCGGAATCACAGTTATACTTGTATCGGCTGCGAGCTCCTTCGATGGAAGGTACGGCGCTGGCACTTGCAGAGACGGCCTGGCCTTACGGTTGAAGGGTTGTCGTTGAAGGGAGCGGTCCAGTCGATCCCAAAGTTGTCACGCGCGTTATTTCTATCTTTCGTTTCGTTCTCTCCATGAGTGTGGCTTGCGTGGCCACCCAGCTGTTCCTGCATCGACGGCAGCTTGTTGTCGGCGCAAGTCGTTGAGGAGCAAGGGGCGCATGCGAGGCATGCGTCTGCCCAACTCTTCGAAGATCCCCTTCGGAACTTGTGCCCCAGGTGGAAGGCCCGAGCTGCCACATGCGAAGCAGATCCTGGTTGCGTCAGTGATATTCGGTTGCGCTGCCGCGCGAGACCGCCAGTGTTGGGGGAATGCTGCGATGTAGCAGCGTTGCAGCGTGGCCCACTCGTGGTTTTGCATGATTCTCTCGGTGTCTTTTCGGGTCTCTGGAGCCTCTGTTGCGACTCGTGGGGGGTTGAGATCCTGCTTCATGTGGCCCAATCCGATTGGCTCTGACTCAACCCGGTTTTGTCTAGCTTCTTCTGGCTTGATTTGGTTTTCTTTGTTCAACTTGGCTTTGCCTGGCGTGTTGCCTTCGAGCACAAGGAAGCACTCGCAGGAGTTACTACCTGATGAAGCGCGACACCCAGGGCAATGCAAATAGAGTAATCTTACCGCGATGAGCCCACACGAGTGTCTCTGCATCTGTTTTGTGGCAGGGCGGAGGACGAATGAGTTCTGAATGTCCTAAATGGGTCGTGAACAAAAGGCCTCTTAGTGGTCTCTTGAGGTTTATCTTGAAGGCTACCGCCTCTACCGCCGACTCCAGGCAACGTTTCATTTCTGCTGTTTTTTTACGTTTGTGGTCGTGGGCGTCAGGTTTTTTGTTTCGTCGTAGATTTCGCACAAGGAGCGCACGTCGGGGCATGGACACCGCACAGTGAGTGTACGTTGGCTTGGGTAGATTGCCGTGGGCTATGAACCTTGCTATGTAGACCCCAAACGCTCGGTGTTTGTAACTACATCCGTTGGTGTCTAAAAGTACGGCGCATGCAGCCATTCACCCGGAGTTGCTCTTTACTCTGGGAGCGCAAGGTTGTGTCGTAGATGTAGACCGATTTGCACCACATATGAGGCTTGAACGGTCTCCACGGCTATGCTTGTCGCGCGTGCCGATACTTCATGGACCCCAAGCCAGGATCGCACGTCGGCTGAGGTTGTCCCGCGCGTCGCTTCATACAGCCCAAACAGTGTTGTGAAGGCCTGTTGTTGTGGATCCCAAACAGAGTGCGCACGTCGGGGATGGACCCGAAGGTCGTCACCATCCAGAGTGAGTCGATCGGTCCACGGGGCCGTGAAGCAGTTGAAGAGCAGAGGTTGTTTCTGGACGTTGGCGTTTCAAATAATTTCTTAGTCGCCGTCATTGCGTATAGAAAAAGGCATTCCGGGCCCCAAGCAGAGAGCGCACTTCGAACATGCACCCAATAGTTTCTATCGTCGCTCTTCAGGCCATCGTGCGAAGGCATGATGTTGCGCGCGCTGGTCAGTGCGTATGCCCACTTGTGGGGGCCCAAGCGCGACGGCGCCAAGTGCGCAACGGCGCCCGAGCATCCGCGGGGAACCGAAACCGTGAGCGCACGTCGGGCGTGGATCTGAAGCTCTTGTCATCATGCACAGTGATGTGAGCTGTTCACGGCGCCGCGGTTGTTCGGCTTTAGCGTGCGGGACGCGGTAAAAGGGTCATACACGCGTGCATTGTTTGTGCGTTTTGGCCATCGCGTTTTTGCGGCAGCCGTGGTGCTGGTTTCGCGGTGGCGATCGCGGGTGGGGACCTGCGTGGTCGCGTGTGTTTCCCAGCGCGGCGTGTCTCGCCGCAGCGCGTCTGCCCGGCGGTTCTGTCGCCGCCGTTTGTTCGCGCGCTTGAAATGTCTAACATTGCGCATTTGGGGTAGCTTGCCCCGTCGCTGTCCGCAGTTCCCGTTTGTTTTTACTCGCGGTGCGGGTCTTCACCGATGCGCCGCGTTTTTGGCTCGGTGCAGGGTTGCCGCGAGTTTAGACCCCCTGGTCTGTTTCGACGATGGGGCGCGCGGTATGCAGATGTGCAGCGCGTGCGCTGCGCGCGCGTTGAGGCCGTCGTGAATTTTGCGCGGGCGATCGCGGGCGTTCAATCGTGCATTCGCAACGACGTGGGCCGGGTTCGTGCGTTCGCCACACCGCGCATGGTTGGCGGTTTTGTCGCCGCAGGCCCGTCGCGCATTGCCATCGATTTCTCCGAGTGGAAATAGGTTCGGGGGAGCGTAAGACCCGGGTTTGCCGGGACTCGGGTTCGCCATCGTTTTTTGACGACCGCGACTCGGATTTTGACGAGGAGGAGTTTCGTGGGATGTCTGCAGCGGGAGGCCTCGTCAAAATGCAGGCTCGGCCTCGTCATTTTTTTGACGACCTCGTCGGGGATTTCCGAATCCCCGTTACCCAGGTCTTACGTCCCCCTGACCCTTGCCCCCCCTTGTCCGCGTATTTGTTCTTTTCTTGCCCTTCTGTTACGTCTCCTCCTTCGTGGCTGTCGAAGGGGCACTCTGCGCTTCTCTGGGCCTTTTCGTGGACTTCTCGGAAGCTTTTCAGGTCGGCTGTGGTGTCTTCAGTCTTTTGCAGAGGGCCTTCGGGGGACTTCTTGCTGTTTGGGAGTGCCTTTTAGGGGCTTCCCACGCCGCCCCTGAGGTCATTGGGGCTTTTTGGAACCGCTTCTGTGGCACATTGGGGGCCTTGGAGGCAATCCTGCAGGAAGGGCTCTGAAGGCCGCCTCGGCTTGATTCGCAATTCGCAGCGTTCTGCCTTTCCTTGGGACGCGAGCGGAAGCGGGCAGTCGAAGTTCATCGTGGAGTCGTCGAGGAGACGCCTTGGACCTTGGAGCCGTTTTGGGCCGTCCGGATTCCTGCGAGCGGGGCGCATGGCTCATCCTCCCCCCTCCTCGCTATCCTCCTCCTCTTTTTTTTTTTCCTCTGTAATTGCTCCGCTCACCCGAGCTTTCAAAATAAGATGCTTACTGCTTCCCGGCGCCGAGGAGGGAGCGCCGAGGCATCGGCCTTGGCGGAGCGCGCGCGACCCTGGAGCTCGCTCGCTCGCTTCTCCGACTCCACCTGGGTGGCTGCCATCTGGCTTCATTTTGGCATTCATGCGATTTCAGACACATGCGTTCCGCGCGCGGTACGGCGTGCCCATTTTCGTGACCTTTCCACCAGGCGGAGAGCATAACTTACTCATGGTAAGACAGTCACGAACGCGACGACGGTATTTGGTGCACAATGCGGCGAAGGATGTCATTGCTTCGCGCGAAGCTGAAAGGCGGGCGCGGCCGAACGTCGCTCCGGAGACAGACGACGTGCGTCTGAAACTCTTGGTGGACGCCAGTCTTACTGGGGGATCATCCTGGGCGGAACGCAGGAATACTCTCGCTCGTGATCCGATGGCGAGTTTGGACGGGCTTCGGACGATCGTGGACGCGACGATGCGCCAACTACTTGGGCTGAGGACGTGTCCGCATGGCCCAAGCTGCAATGACAGGGAGGAGATATCGCCATGCCAGGATCGATTCGGCAGCAGTTCTTCGCTGGAAGGCGGCGTGTTCGGGAGGGCGGGCGCGCGTTATTTATCCATCGAAACGCAAAAATCCACGGGCGCATGTCATGTGCATTGTCAAGTGCTCGCGCAGTGTCTGCACCGGCACACTCAGCTTCATCGAGTCTTCGAAATCAGACGCGGAAAAACAGAAGGAAAAGGATGCAAATTTGTGCAAGAGCTGTTGGAATACAAGAAACGGGTCTGTCGCCAAGAGTACGCCGCGAGCCTCGGCGCAGAAGACGCAGCGAAGAACCTTGCCCACGCAGAGACGTCATGGCCTGAGTACCAAAACGAATGCGGACTTGTTTCGGGCGAAGAGAACTATGCACATGCACCAATGCCGGCCAGGCCCATCCTTGGCCCAGGATCGGTGCATGTGCCTTCCTGGCCAAGGCAGGAGGGCGTATGCACTGATCCTCGGCTCATGATAGACCTGGCAAAAATCGGTGTATGTGCATAGGTTTTTTTCTTCCACTGTTTGCCGGCCGGAATAGCAAACGCGCGGAGTGGAGCAGCACGCGGAGCCTGCGGAGGCTGCGGAGGAGGCACTTGCACGGGAAAAAAATAGCCTCTTGAGGTTGATTTGGTCTCTTTGGAGGATGTGGGGGGCCTCTTGGAAGCTTCTGGTGTGCCAACTATGCGGGGCTTGGGCTCTTGGGGGCCTCCGGGGGCCCTTTGGGGGCCTGCTGGTGGGCTCGGTGGGTGATCTTGATGGACAGGGCTCAACGTGCGGGTTCGGATTCTCCCTCGCGGGCCCTTGCCCGGCAGTCTCGGGGGCATCTTGGGCCCTCTCGGGTGCCTCTGGGGGCCGCCTTGGAGAGACCCTGGGCACGTATTTGGTCGTCTTGAGGCTTATGTGCAAATCACGCCGCGTCGTCCAGACGAGCTTCCCGGATTTCTGCGAATCCAGGTCTTGGGGCCCTGGAGATAATGTTCACAGCGCCCGACACGCTCCGCTTCGTGCCTGGCGGCACGGTGCAAGCCTGGCTCGCGCCGTCAAGTGAGGGGTCCCATGCGGCCGTGAGCACGCCTCCCGCGTGGGATGCGCGGTGGCGGATATGAAATTATCACTGTCGATGGGTCGGAGGGCGTGCCCGCCGACGGCGGCGAAAGACCCGTGGTTATCGTGGACCCGGTGCTGCGGGACCCGGAAAGATAGAAACAAGTTCGAACCGGCAAACATTTAGGAGGAGGCGGAGGGGGAGGAGCAGCAAGAGGAGGGGCAGGAGGAAGGCGGGGCGGGGCAGGGGGTGGTCGTGGCTCAAGGAACGGGGGCCATTGCAAACGGGGGTCAGTCAGAGCGCTGGATCTTGCAGGACCCTGCAGGGCCAGGGGTGCAGTGACCCGGGCTTGCGTGCAGCGATCTTGCAATTCCTGATTGACCCAGTGTTGCGTTGACCCGGGTCAGTAGATCCCCGATCGGAGAGAGTGGTGGCGACGACGGGCAGTAGTTCCTGTTGTCAGCATCGCCGCGGGCGTATTCAAATTGGGATAAAACTTCGCTTGCCCAACGGCGGCCGCCGTCGGTTTTGGACCATGTTGTCAGCTGGGCATCCTGACCATTGTTTTCCGTACCCATGCCGGGCGTGCAAGGGGACCTTTGCAAGCCGCCTCCCGTGCTCGCATCGCGCCTTGAAGCCGAGACGGGCGCACAGGTATTTTCAGAGCCAAGGCTCGAGACCCCAGGTATTTTGGACGGGCGGTGGTGTGATCGGTCTCACGACGTGCAGGGACTTGCACCCGTGAGAGATCGTCGAGACGAATATGGAGCAGATTGAACATCAAATGCTTATGTCAGTCATTCGTCGGAACACGTGTGGGCTGAATCACCGTAAATTTTAATGACGATCGGTAGTCATAGACATCGTGTGGTGACACATCACACACGTTATTTTTTCGAACGATGGCAACCAGCATACATAAAACACGTTTGATGTTTCATCTCAGTGGCGTGGCGATTTTGGCTTAGAAATCGTGTGACCTTCATCCGCTTTTTCGTTGACGGGCGGGAATCGCACCCCGCGGCGCCTTCAATGGCATCCCCATGCTGACGCCTGGGTGCCGCGCGGCAGTGCCGACAGCGAGCGACCACCGCACGCCCAGGCGTGTGGCGTGTTCTGAGAGTGCCTCCGCGCACGCGCGCACCCCGACGTGCGTCCCGTGCGCTGGCCCCAAACCCCAAACGTGGAGAGGCGCCGGCACTGGAGAAGCGCTGGCCTCGAGCCTTCCCTGCTGCAGCCAGGGCGTGGAGCCTGTCCCCGCCTCGCGTGGCTGTGCCGTCTTCCGACCCTTGCGGGCAGTCCTCCCAGCAGCTGCAGAGGACAGCGGCGAAGCCCTGATCCGTCTCGGCTTGCCCGGCACTGGTTGCCTCCTTGGTCCTTGGAATTTGTCGCTCACAGAAGGGCGGCGTAGTTCCCATCTATGTCGCATGGGCAACAGCGCAGCAAGCTCCACGAGCTGTGACACCGTCAGCTGCGAGCACAAGGACACCCCAGACACTTTTTCGGTCGACGACGCGAAACAGTCAGCACGTGCACAACAGGTCAATGCACACTTTTGGAGTCCGCTTTGCACCTCTTCGTTTCCATGGGCGAGAGAGGCCTTCTACAAATCAATCCAACGAGAGGACAGGACGGCGTAACTCCCTGCTTCTACGGGCGACCACCCCGATATGGAGGAGGATGAGGCTTTATATGGGCCGCCAGGTCTGTGGTTGAGGAGCCAGGAGAAACGGGAAGAAGAGGGAGGGAGAACGGGGACGCATGTCGGGCGACGGGATCTATCTCTTTCTCTCTCTCTCTCTCTCTTTGTTTTTCTGTCTCTCTCTCTCTATGTATATACAAGATTGCATTGGCGATTCGCGTAATGCGTCTTGTTCCGAATGCTTCCACGGCAAAACAATACATCTTCGTTTTCTTCAGCAGGGGGGACCTCGAGGCCTGGACGGGCGACTGGCTCATGTTTCTGATATCCTTGGTGCCTAATGACACGGCGTTCGCCCGATGCGTTCGCACGCTTGTGCGCAGGAATGGGGAAGGAATGCAGATTTTTCACGCGCGAAGGTGCTGGCAAACGACGAAGCATCAAACTCTTGCGATGGCACTCGTCCATGAACGGGGACAGGGAAGGGACCAGAGATGAGGGCGGTCAAAAGAGGCGGAAGGGGGGAGGAGGGGGAGAGAAACGGGGAGAATGTCCAGAGGGAGGAGCGGGCGAATGAGCATGGCCATCGGATGCCACGAACGTGGAGGTCGACGAAGAAGTTCGAGGGGGGAATGGAGAGAAAGAGAGAGAGAGAGAGAGCGAGGGTGATAGAGGTACGGGAAAGACAGGCGGGCTGGCGTGAGCTCGACGAGCGCACGGCAGCAACAGAAATCCTTTGCGAAGCTCGCCCAGCTGCGCCGCCACGCGGGCGCCAGGGGGCACGGCGGGCAGAACAGCTTGGGCCGTCTAGGAGGCCTCCATTGGCCTTCTTGGGGGTCTCCCCATGGTTTTCCCGGGTCTCTCTTGGGAGCCTTCTGCGGGCATCGTGGGCTTCTTGTGGCCAGTCTAGGGGCTCTCTGGGACAGTCTTGTGGCTCCCTTGGGCCGTCTTCAACCCTCTGGGGGGCCTCTTGGGGCGATATCGGGGGCCCATCGGGCCATCTTGGACGCTGCGCGGACCCAGAAAGCAGATATGCTAAAACAGGTAATTTCCTGGAATGAGACGATGGTTGTTTCTTCGGGGCTCTCTTAACGGCCTGTTGGGGCGTCTTGGGGGCCTTTTGGGACGTCTTCGGACCATCGAGGTTCCTCTTGGAGCGCTGTTGTGCTGTCTTAGGTCTTTCGGGCGCCTTGCTGATGACCCTTCTGATCGCCTTGAGTCTGCTCGCAAGGCCCGGCAAAGCGCCCTGGGAGACCTGCCAGGGCCAGGGCAGGGGGCCGCCGAGACGTCCGAAAGGGTCCCCGGAGGGGGGTCCAGTTTAGGGTAGGTGGGGTGGGGGGGGGTCCGGGTAATAGACAATACAGGAATAGGAATCTTCTCCAAACAGGCTTGCATTTTAGGAGTTCTACCGCAAACCCTACTAAATGGTCCGCCCCCCCCTGAATCCTATGCCCCCCCCCCAATTCCTATGGTTATGCCTATGCCTATGCCTTCCCTGACGCAGCTGCTGGGCCGCACGGTCCAGTACGGTATAGCACAGTGGACTGGAGTGTCCGCGCCTGGAAAGCAGGATCGTCATCGTCATCACCATCGTCATCAGCACCATCATCACCAACTAGTTATTTGGAGTTAGCGCTGGCTGATATACAGATCTATATAGATATAGATCTAGCTATGGATATATAGATATGCCGCCCCTGGCCAGGCCCATCGCGGGCCCAGGGTCGGTCTATACGCCGTCCCGGCGTGGCCGGAGAGGCATCTCGGCCCAGGATGAGCTTGGCAGGGGTTGTGCAGATGTGTAGATCTCGTCGCCTTCGTGTGAGGAGGAGGAGGAGGAGGACGAGGAGGAAGAGGAGGAGGAGGAGGAGAACAGGAAGGGAGGGGAGGCACAGGGAGGCTGGGGGCTACGCTCTGGGGGGCGACCCCGTTTGGTCCACTCACGTTGCGCTGGCTTGCGCAAGGCCCGCGTGCCGCGTGCCTCGCCACTGGGCCGATCATCGCTGGGCCACGATTCTCCCTACCTCCCAAACCGTGTTATCGTCAGCGCGCGGGTCCTGGCGCCCCCCACTTTTCCTGGATGTGTCGTGCTGTTGTGCAGAGCGCCGCTCCCCGCGTGGCTGAAACGTGTATGTGGCAACGCGTTGTACCAGCCCGCTTTGGCGGACGCAAGATCTGCCAGGAGATTTTGATTTCATCCCGGATAGCTTTTGTACGAGGGCCCCTGGCCCAGAAACGCGTTGTCGTCGTGGTCATCGTCCTCGTCGTCGCCGCACGCGGAGGACGCGAGGCGGTTCATCCTGGACGTCCATAGCGCGCCTCCAGACGCAGGCGGCAGACTTTGTGGGTGGCTCGTCTTCTCCAGGCCTTCCAGATGTGGCCAGAGCAGATGGGGTCGGAGGATCGCTCCGCATCGCCGATGCATCGGCGATACTGCGCGATCTCGGGCCTGTTTTTCTCCATCCCGCCGTCGCCGATGCATCGCCGATGTATCGGCGATTCGGCGCGACCCTCCGACCCCATCAGCTTACGCCCCATATATGGGAGGCCTCCAGTGTTTCGCTGCTTAGTGACACTTCCGGGTACCGTCGAAAAACGGTTCACAAACAACATGTTTCCAAGGGGCAATCCCTGAGGTCCAAGTCCCGCTTCTCTCAGGACCCCGCCACCTTAGGCAAAAGAGTCTGTGATGGGCTCCTGTTCCCGAGTTCCTCCCCATACCCCGCTCTTGATATCCTAGTGCTTTGAGCAAGTATTACACTGGGTGTTTAGGCACGCCTCCGGGCTCAGGGTCCTCACGGATCGATCTGGCTCGAAGAATGACGCAGATGAGTTGAGAGTTTTGGCTGCGTTTTTCCAGCGACACATTATGTTGAAGGCGTCGATGGACGAGGCCATCTTGCTCCTGCTGTTCCGCTTCTCCTAGGCACGCAGGACTTGTTATATACATATCTAGGGACGCTGAGTCCAGCCATCAACTAAGTCAGAGGCCCAGAGCAGACACCACTCGGAGAGACGTCAACAATACACCACCACCAGCCCTGGTCAGGTTCATCCTGGGCCCTGGACTGGTGACCGGTGTATTGACCTCCAGGCCTTGGCCAGGAGGGCCTGTACAGCAGTCCAGGGCCAAGAATGGGCCTGGTCAGGGCTGGAGGCGGTGTATTGTTTGGAGCCCTTGTCTGCCGCGTAGCCATGCCTCCTCCAGAGGCCTGCCGGGACCCGCCGAGGCCCCCAGGGTCCCCCAGAGGCAGGGCTCGACCCAACCTGTGTTTTTTCGTTCAATTGTTCGTTCTGCAGCAATAGCGGAGCGAAGAGAACGAGGGACAGCATCAACAACACGAAAACGGAAATATTGTTTGGATCGAGCCTCGGCCTCCAGAGGCTTCCTGGAGATCTCCCAGAGTCTTCCTGAGACCTCCAGCAGGGTCCATTTGCAATCCGATCGATCCGATCCGATATCGCTTTCGGCCCGTTCGATTCGATGCGATCCCGGTATTTCAACGATCTGATGCGGCACGATGCCTGCATGGCTCTGCTGTGCATCTTGGTGCGGTCGAGCGGACTCGATTCCGTTTCTGTGCCGATGCGGCCCGATCCGACGAACATGTCGATTCGATACGAGTTGCTTGATTCGATGTTGTTTGGTCTAGCCTCCAGAGGCCTCTGGAGACCTTCAAATCAGACGAGAGGAGCAATAGCAGCCAATTGTCCACCTGCGTCGCCGTGAGACTTCGCCCCCAGGCCGCGGGGGGAATGGGCCTCGAGGCCGGCCAGGCAACTCGTTTATGACTTGACTCTTCGCGACCGAGGTGATGAGGACGCATCAATATTGGGCTCGACACGTCGTGCCGGTGTCTATCGAGAGCCCTGGATGTTTGGCGGAGCAGAACGCGGAGGGAACCAGGGCCAGGTCGGGTCGATGTGGGGGGAGGAGGAGGAGGAGGAGGAGGAGGAGGAGGAGGAGGAGGAGGAGGAGGAGGAGGAGGAGGTCAGGGGGCGGCAGGAGATCGCGAAGGTAGCCTCGAATAGCGTTTCACGCGGCCTGATGTGCGGAGTGTGAGGCCAGTCGAGAGGTCGGCCAGTCTTTGGTCACGATGATGCTTCTAGTTTCCTACCTGCCCATCCGGAAACGATCCCCAGGCGAGTCATCGTGAAACGGATGTGCGAAGCATTTGTGTAACAAAGAGGGAGGTCACCAATTAGATGGTCTGCGGTCAGTTAGAGCAGAACACCACTATGGCCGCTTTGAGAACCTCTTGGAGCTATCTTGGGGCTTTCTTGGGGCTCGTTCGGGGGTCTCTAGGGCTCTCTAAGCTACTGGGCACTTCTTCTGGGGTCCTTTCCAGACCATCCCAGAGGACACCGGCCAACAGAGGGTGGGGTCCTCCAATTGGCTTCCCCCCCTGAGGAGCTCGAAGTCTCATCTCTCGGAGCTCTTTGGGGATCCTCTTACGGTGCCTCTTGGGGCCGTTTTGGGGCAATTCCGGGCATCTTGCGGCCCTCTTTGGCCAATCTGAGGCATCGGAGGCCCATCGGAAGCGAAGAAGGGAGAAGGCACACAAGGGAGACGATCGGAATTTGGATGGGTCCTTCGGAGACATCCAGGGTTAGCAGTTTTGGGCCGCCTCACGGGACATTGCCATCCTGGACCGACTGGGGCCCTCGAGCGCCATCTCAGGTCCCCGCTCGGGCTGCCTCGGGCAGTCTCGGATCTGTCGAGGGCCATTCTAACGACGCCCACTTTCCTCGCCTTGGGATGCCGCGGTCCAGACCCCCAGGCTTGGGGCATGAGATCCAGGAGCTGCAGACACAATCCCATCCAATCCAATCCAATCCAATCAAATCCTCCTCCTCCTCCTCCCTCTCCCCACCCCGAAGGGGAAGGGGGAAGGCGGGGCTGCGTTGGAAGATGTCATGCCCACCCCCCCCTTTGGGGCCGCGAGGGCAGTCGCGACTCGCGCGCCTCGGCTCTGGCCGGGGAGCTACCCAGTCGGAGTCGGCCTCGCGGGGCGCTCGAAGACAGGACCGCGGCGCGACGTGCAATGCCGGGCGAACTGCAATGGGAGCTCTCCTCGCGAAACCGCTTGTCCTCCGCCAGGGTGACCTGTGGACTTCGTCATGACTTCTCCTGGGCTTCCGAGGCATACGCCCGGTGTTCCAGCCCCCGAGTTCACCGAACCCCGCGGTTTCAGAGTCTGAGTTTCTCGTGGAGGTTTCTGTTGCCCGAAGTAGTTGCGTGACATCCGACCCCGAACCAAACGTCCGTGTCGGCGGTCGCGGCGGCCACACATCGGGGCAGGGCTTCTGTCAGGGAGCGGCATGCCGCATCCCAGCACCCCCGTGCTCTTCTATGTAGACGCGGCTCATAATTATCCGTGTAGCGACAAAGGGTTGATAATATATCTGCAGCACTGGAAATCCTCGTGTTTTTTGGGTTACGGTTCGCTTATCACGCAACCGCGAAGCCTTATGAGACAGGCCAGCAGAATTTGACGAGTAGGTTTTGCTCCAGGTTTCTTAGAGTGAGTCTTACCGCTGAAAAACCATGTTTGGCTAAAGGGACAAAATCTACTGCCCCTGCTGCTGCCGCAGCTGGCAGCGGAGCCTGGTGCGGCGGGCGCCCGTGGGTGGTGGCGGGCAGCCCTGAGGGAGGCTGGCCCGGCTGCTGCTCGCAAGCCCCCGCTGTCTCCGGGCTCGCGCCGACGGGTCCGGCGCGGCACGCGGAGATGCCCGACGATGACGACGGCAAGGGCGGCAAGAGTGTGCCCGCCTCCGCGGAGGACTCGGGAGCGACGCCGGGGGGGCGTCAGGAGCTGCCGCGGGCCCGCCTGTGGCGGTCGCCCTATCAGCTCGGCAGCTGAGAGAGCTCGTGGCGGGGGGTGGTCAGGGAGACTACAGGCTCGGCGCCGGCGACGACGGCGGTCGAGCCTGCGGCCACGGGTTCCGAGGGTCGAGATAAGCCCAAGAAGTGGGGCCCATGGCGGAAGAGTGGACAGGCAGCAGCGGAAGGCAAGTGGTCTGCTAGGGGTCCCGCCGACAGTTGGGAGGACGACGTATGGAAGGACGACAAGAGGAAGGACGACCTGAACGACGATAAGGGGCATGATGCGAGTTGGAGGCCGTGGCAGGACTCTGGCGGCGGCGGCGGCTGGTTTTTTCAAGGGCGGCTTCAGCGACCCACATGCATGGGGGCCACCTACCGGGTTGGGCGCAAAGCCAACACGGATGTGCCGACATGGAGGAGATCGGAGAAATTTCTTCGTTTGTTCGAACCATGCGCCCGCAGTCCGATAACATCCCAGGGCGGATGTTGATCAGCGACGATTTGATAGAGGCGGTCTTGAAGAAGATGGGCATCATGATTGGCGAGCGCGAGGGTGGACACCTTCGGCGCAGTGGGCGAAAGGCACTCTGCGAAGCCACGCACGAACAGAATGAGTCCCTCACCCAGTTTGTGGCGAAGCGCGAGGCGCAGTTCCTCGAGGCCGAGGCGCGCGACCTAAGCCCCTCCTCGAAGAACAAGGGTTCCCTGCTTGAGGAGGGCTCCGGGCTGACCGCCCAGGGAATGCAGAATTCACCCACGTTGACTTTTGGGCGCCTGGATTTCGATGGCTTGAGCTGGGCGCTCCGACGGACGGAGGCGCCCGGCTCGGAGCGAATGCTCCCGGGGGGGAGGCCTCGCTGCTAGCAGGCGCCGGGGCCGAAGAGCCAGGCGTAGCCACTGGTAGCCCCCCCCCCTCCTGCCCGGTCGGTCCGCCGGAGGTTGGCCCCGAGTCCGGGGGCGAAGACGAGCTCGACCCAGAGGGCGGCGACTACAACGACGACGGCGAGGACGGGGCTGCTTTGCTGGCCGAGATCGAGGACTTGGATCTTGAGGAAGACCAGGTGTAGGACGCCATGGCCACGTTCGAGTCTCGCTCCAACACCCGCACCTGGAAGCGCAATGAAAATTTGAAACGAGCATCGCGCCAGGTTCGCGAATATTTCGGACGCCCACGATCAGGAGCACCACCGCCTCCTCAGCCGCGAGGCGGACGAGGAGACCGCGGAGGGCGCGGCGGCGGCGACCGCGGTCGCGGAGGAGGCCGGGGACTGAAGCGACGGCCGAGGCTCTCGAAGGAACACTTGACGCGGGATCACCAGGTGCGGGATCTGCCAGCACAGAGAAGGGCAATCCCAAGTTCCAGCAGGTGCAGGTGCAGCGGGGCCAGTGGCGGACCGCGTCGGCGCGCGCCTTCGTCGGTTGCGAGGCGGCCCCCAGCAAGCCCATCACGACCGACGTGCTCGAGAGCTTGAAGGCAGGTCGTGGAGTGCTGCGAGGAGTCGCA